ACTGGCCTCCCGCCGGACAACTTCTTCGGCATTCCTGACATCGATGGCTATGGAGACAAGTTCGAATCCGACATCGACAACGAAGGCGAGGGCATGTCCTACTATGCATGGAACCTGGGAGACGTGGACGAGCCGGGCAAATCTGGCCTCACACCCTCGACCGTCAAGGACAGGCGATGACAGACGCATGTTGTGCCGACAGTCACAGTCAAAGAGGAAGCCCGTGAGCATAAATAAGGTTTGCATGACCCGAAACAATATGAAAGCTACCAAGCAGAGGGACCTAGATTCTCCAGACAAAACGGCCCGAAAGCATCCACCGCCATGGGCTGCTAGTGGTGGAACGCGAAGACGTCACAAAGACTTTTTCGCAACGTAAGGCTGAAGGCAGGCGATGGCAGACGAAAATGCCCCCGACTCCCACTCTCAACCCACCATGAACTCCCCGTGCATAGTTCGGAGAGTTGATTGGTTAGCAGGTGCACTACCCTCACAGAGATGCTTTTGCCCGACTTCTGTTTGGCAACCCTAAGTCCAGGAGTGTGCCGACCGTGAAATCGCCCGTGATTTCCAGCTGGCTAAATGGCAGAACGAGCACCGAAAGTGCCTGTGACGACAATTGCATGACAGGTTGCTGCGCCATGTTTTCTTGTGTGTTTCGCGAGCTGTCAGGGTGGAATGGTTCAACGATCTGGCAGAGGAAGTCCAGGACTGGCTCGAGGCGACACCAGATGTGGACGTTGCAAGTCCTGGCCCCACCATAAAGGCTGGCAAGATCCTGTCCGCGGTTGCCAAGGCGGCAAAAAGCACAACACACGAGTCTGAAACCATTACGCCCAAGCCGCCCAATCTCTTAGGTCCTAGGTCCAAAATGAGAGATTTACTGTCAGAAGTTTCCTGCTTTGTTTCCCAGCAACGTGGTTCTAGAGGAGCTCGTTTATAGATTACTCTTCGCTGATTGGATTCTGATTGGTTTGTTCCTGTTTGTGCTCTCGCTCAGGTGGCCCGAGGAATCATAAAGGTCAACAACAACCAGCGGCTTATCGGAAGGAACAGCCGTTTCGTGGCCGCCGACAACGAGGACTGCAACTCCGTTCAGCGCCTCTGTTCAATGAGTCATTCATTCGATAGGGGCATCCCGTAAAGAAGCCCAAATGATCCCAAATGTTTACTAAGTAGCCAAGAATTGGGTGTTGGGCGTTTCGAAGAGAGATGATACAGGCTGTTTCGTCTCGCCTCGGATGGAGTTGGGCTAGTAAAGGTTTAGGGATTTGTATGAGACTATTAGCGCAGAAGGCTGGATGCGTTAACGAGTACTCGTACCCAACCAATCTGGCTACTGCCTCGTTTGCCTCGGCGGCTCGGTTCGGCGCGTAAAAAAAAAACATGGCTTCTTCTATGTGGGCTCGTTGGGTCTAGTTGTTCAGCATTCCGTAGGTGCGATGGGGAGTCAACAAGTCAACAAGTGAGCTCGACTGATGGACCCGTTTACGAAGGCACGGCCTGGCGCGGACCTTTTGCGACCTCCACTGTGTTCGGGACGCCGTGAAGAAAGGCGACGCAGCGATCCTCACGAGCCTGGAAGAGGGCGTTTCGGTTCTTCAGCGGGAGATGCCGCTCGGCTCCGCTGTTTGCACTTCCGACATCGTGTGCCGCTGCTGAAAAACAGAGCCCCGGCCTCCCCACCGCTCTTGTCCGAGGCGCAACCTCTTCCAGGCATACTTCCCGGACAGCTCTCAGTCGGCCAGCCTTTTGGCAGCCTCGCAGCACGAAGACTTCCAGCAGATGCGTGCCGGGCTGGCCACGGACGTCCGTGAGATGCGACAACTCCTCCAGCGGAACCTGCACCCCACGGCAAAGATCGCCTCTCAGCGTGCTCTCCGGGCGTTCCAATCCGCTGTCCAGGGAACGAGAGAGGCCGAAGGATATGATCCAGAGCGACGGATGTGCCATTCGTAGGGAAATGCCAAGCTGTTTACTTCAGCCCTGCACAGGTCGGCCAAGAACTCGGCAACATTTCCGGGATGCAGTTCCTCGCCGAAGAAACGGGGCGGCTGAAGGCGACACTCAAGGCATCTGCGCGGACTCATACGTCCTACGCGGTCACAGTGGAGCGGAGGAGCGCTGTTGGCAATCGCAATACTTGACAAGCCTGTGCAAGCCTTCGCTGCCTTCACAAGGCTGTCCAGCCATTCTCTGCTATTACAGTGCTGCAGGGAGGGAGGGAGAGAGAGAGAGAGAGAGTAGCCACTTTGGACCGTGCTCCTCTCGCCATCTCTGACATAGTGGTCCTCGAAGGACTACGCGTCATGCAAAGGGGACCATAGCACAAGTTGTCACAAAGTCGAAGTCCACCCTGAGACGCTCACTTCAGCCACTGCCCATTCAGTATGGCCGAAACGGAACATCAGTCAGTGCGTTAAGGGGGAACATGCCCATGACAGCATACATACTTCCGTCATCGTTATCGTATACTTTATGACTTTAGTCAGTGGGGGTATTATGCTCGCTCCTCACACCCCTTCACCTGCATGAACAACATGCGGGTGGGCCTGTGGCC